ACGGTCTACCTCAAGTCAGAATACAGGCGTTTTGTTTAACATCTACATCAGTATCTATGATTCCTTAAGGCACCAAGTTTTATTTATGCTGACAATCTTGTACCTGCTGCTCAGTTGGATAATTTACAGACAGTAGAACATTTCTAAATGGATATACAGTATTAGAAGAATTTGGTACACAGAATGATAGAAGCCAACTTGCACCAAACCCTACTAAGACTCAGACATCTGCAGGTCATCTGAGAAATGCATCTTGGAAACTTCATGTTATGTGGAAAGGCATTCCTAGTTGAATGCCTTGCTTTTGTTTTGCTCCCAGATTACCTAGTGTTGCTTTGGATCACACACTGACATATGAGAAATATTGCCCAAAAAAACCCACAAAAACCCCCAAAAGGTATAACTATTCTCTGAAAGTTATCAGGAACCATTTTCAGAGGAATGGCACACATCTCCTTGGGACACATGAATGTTAAGAACTACAGCCTTCGCTCTATGCTACTCAAGAGGCATATGCCCGCCTAATGCAATAGAATTCAGCTCATTCAAAACAGGCAGACATAGCACTTAATGGAAGTGGTGGAATCATTACTGGATGCCTGGACAACTCCTTCACATCAGTGTACTCTATGCCCCTATGCATATACTAGGGGAGACTTGATGCTAGCTGTCCCAATTTTAATTTACATTTCCCATTTTTGGGCTAATTTTTAAAATAAATGTATTAATTGTACTGTGGTGCTTCTGACACAAAGACAGAGACCAATTCTGAATTATTTCTTTCCCTGAAGCTTCTTCAGACAGCACCCATAAATGGCTATTTTAAAAATTAAATTAAAGTCATTTAAGAGGGAACAGAGAGAAGATATTCTACATTCTGATTGGCAGATACTTCCTTTTGTTCTCATCCTGCATCCTCAAACCAGTTTTTGAACCAGAGGGAGTTTCATTAGTATCTTAGTGATTATGGGAGCATAAACAACCTGAGAAAAAAACTGAATCTGAATAAAAAATAAAATCTGTAGTGTACATTATACAACGTTGCCTACAAACAGCAGTCAAACTCTAATTTAAAACCATCAGTCACTCCAAAGCATATCATGATGACCAAGCCCCATATCAGATATTATCCCCACAAAGCAGAGGTACTGCCAGTCCAAGCCCTGCCCACACATACACCAAATTATCCCTTGACTAGCTAGTCCAAAATCATCAACATCTAGACCCTCCAGATTACACTGTGGGTCTATTGTAGCCAAACGGTTGTTACAACTACAATTACAGTGGTGTCTCGCTTAGCGACCGCTCCGTTTTACGGCGAAATCGCTTAGCGACTGTTTTTGCGATCGCAAAAGCGATTGCTTTGTGATGTTTCCTATGGGGAAAATTCGCTTGGCGGTGATCGCGGGAAGCGATCATCGCAAAGCCCCCATTTCTGGCCAACTGATTGGCAGTTCCAAAATGGCTGCCCGGTGTTTTGCCTCGCTTTAGAGGCACCGAAAATGGCCACCCCATGGAGGATTTTCGCATAAGGTTAGGTTTTAAGCCCATAAGAACGCATTAAACACATTTTAATGCGTTTCTATGGGCTTTTTAAAATCGCTTAGCGATGTTATCGCTTAGCAGCGATTTTTGCTGCACAGATTAACATCGCTAAGCGAGGCACCACTGTAAGTATCTTTTGCAGCAATCCTATTGTAGTCAGACGAATCTGTGTGGGCTGGATCCAGATGTAGTTATATAAAACTGGATGGAATTTTGGTAATGCATATGAACAAATTGTCTCTCAGGCTGACCAGACAGGTATAACCCTGGCAGGCTATTTCAAACCTAGAGTATTTAAAATAAGATTCTACAAAAGGGGTTGTGCAAACTGTCCATCCCATCTTCAAGAACCTTCCAGTTAGTTGAAGGCAAATTGGGGATCCAACTGTGAAAGAAACTCTGTCCCCAGTGGGTCATCACTCCCAGACCTGGGCCCCCTGACAGAGTGGCCCACGGTCAGAGAAGGTGAGAACAGGGCTGCAGGTGTAAGTGAGGAGGCAGAGGCAGATAAGCTGCACCTGGGAGAAGGGAGAAGGCCAAGATGGGGGTCAATGCTTGGGGTTAAAGAAGGACAAGGAGGAGGAGGAGGAGTGAGACTAAGAGATAGAGGAGTATGTGGAGGTGGCAGGAGAACCTCTCCCATCTTTTGCACTTTTGGGGAAGATAGCCTGCTGGTGTACACAAGATCCTTTGACTGTGGAACGGGTCCAATTCCACTTAGCTATAGGTAGAGATACTGTATAACATTTCAAGAAAAATTATTCCTGGAAAAAAACAGAAGAGAAAAGCTCTTCCGCCCCGAAAAAGCAGACTTTTTTGGACATTTTACATAGCTAGTTATAGGGAAATGATGCAGGAGATGCATGCTGCTGTTCAGCCCTCCAAGGCCTTTTCCATGGAGATCAAGACACCATGCCAAAGACCAAGACATGTGAGCTGCTGGCCCCACCACAGCCCAAAAGAGGTTCTGGAAGAGGAAGCAGCAGCAGGATTCCCTCTAGAGGTGGGATGAGCCAGAGGAACATGGAGGCCTGCAATGGCACCACCAGCCTTTGTCAACTGGCTGGAGTCAGTGTGGACTAGACCACAGTCATGGACTGGACACGGTACAAGCCCAGTGAATGGAACTCAGGCCTAGTTGAGAACGGAGGGCAGCAAGAGGCTAGCAGGATGGAAAAACCAGGCACCCAACTAACCTTTGTACCCCATTCCTGTACCCTAATAAAGACCAGCTTAGGCAGCAATAAAAGCTTGGAGTTGATAAAGCCAGTGGTCGAAGAGATTGTCCCAGTCACCCTCACCCTGGGTGAGGATGGCAGAGGACACATCAACCCATGATTTTTAAGTTGTGTACAAATTAGAAATCTATACAGCTCAGTGTTGTATTATGAATGGGATCAAACAAAAGTTTAAATGATCACACTTGGGATCCCATTCAAATTCTGCTATTGACCCTATAAACAATACTTTTAAGGGACTGATCTCAGTGTTGGTCATTGGGAAAACATTACTGCTGTGTACTTGTTCCAGAACCAAGATGGGATCTGGAAAAACATTCTATTTACTTTCCAAGTAACTTTGAACAACTTTGGAAAGCTGTGTCTGACAATAAAGCAGTTGCACAACAGGTTTGCTGAAGTTCACTGCAAGCACTTTCTGTGGCCTGTTTAGCACTATCAGAAGCACTTTTCAACCAAGTTTAGAAATTCCTGTTATGAAAGTTAAAAGGATTTTGTACAGCATCACATAGGATTTAGCTTTTTTTATTACTTGGGTAAATGTGAAAATGTTCTTAATGTAGGAGAGAAAGGATGGATATAATTTTAAAATAAAGAGTGCATTTCATTCAGCATGTGTTGTACAGTGCAGGCAGCAGAGAGGCAAAAATATTTTTAGTTAGCAAATATTAATATACTTCAGCCTTAGTGTCCCAATCTGAAAAGGGAGAAATTTTGTCTTTTACTGTGAAGACAAGCATTGCAACATAAGGGATACAAAATTGTCTACAGATTGTAGATTTTAATCTTAGAACTCCAGAATTGGAAGAGAGTCTGAAAAGGGAGAAATGTTGTCTTTTACTGTGAAGACAAACATTGCAACATAAGGGATACAAAAATTGTCTACAGATTGTAGACCTTAATCTTAGAACTCCAGAATTGGAAGAGATCCTACGGATCATCAAGACCAGTCCCTGTCAAGGAGGCCCATGGGGGAATCAAATCACTGAGCTGAGTTTTAAAAGTGCAAACAAAGTATAATCCCAATTGTTTAAAGAGCAGACTGGGTCATTCAATTTTAAAAAATGCTGACCATCAAAAAACAAAAAGCAAATATCTTTATATTAAGGTTCTATGAGGCTGAAATCACCTCCAAATTGGGTTTCTAGTCTTTATGTTAGTATTAATAAATAAACACTACATGCACTTGGGCCACAAATCCATTTGTACAGTAATGCTGCATGCATAAAAACTGCCATCTAATTTATTCACAATGCCATCTGTGTGAAACTCAGTACAGAGAGCCTCAAGTGTGTACCAGCAACAGATTAAGTGGCTTGGAGCCTGTAGAGAGGAGCATGATTGCTGTAGCATAAGCTTTTGTGACAGAAGCACAAGCTTTTGTAGTTAACAGCCCTCACTAAGATGAGGAGAGTGGTTTATAAATATTTACATACTATACACATGGACTTGAAACTTCCTCAAACGGATGGCAACAAAACGCACACAGATTACTAGGTCATTCTGGATGATACCTTGGCAGTTCTAGGGTTGCACTGACAATGCAGTGATTGCCTGTAGATGACATTACACCCCTTTTGTGGAGTCTCTCATTTTAAGCAGGCCTGAAATGCAACCCGCCCACAACTCCGAGGTTATCCCCGGCCAACCAGCCTGGAAGCCGGTTCTGTAATTCATGAGCATTTCTAGAAAGGTGCCTAGTATGTCTTCAGGCACTTCCACACAGGCTGCACCACACCTGATGCCTTCCCTCTTCCTGGCCCTTGGGAGGGGTCCAGGCTGAGAATGTACTGTACTGTATAACACTGTGTTTTGTCTGAAAGGAACTCCTGTCGCACGTTTAACGACAAAAGTTGTGGGTCAGAAATTCTCTTCAGCTCAGCGCGTTCTGGTTTTGCACGCTCAAATCCTCAGCAAACGGTGGGTGGACAAATGAATTAATGGCCGCTCCTGGGGGGTG